GAGTCCGGTTCCAAATGAGTAAAACTATTGCATTTAATTTCATAATCCTTCGTCTATTTCCCACTCTAAACACATTATTATTATTTCTCCCTTGGGTTCCTAGTGGAACATAAAGCTTCAGTAGCCCGTCGACATTCCACTCTCTTCTCTGCAGTCTTTGCAATCTCGTTCCACCATTGCCCACAACCCTTCATTTCTTCCTCATACACCATCTCACACTCACTACCGACGCCCAACTCGTCGTCTACTCTTCGGATTCCACTCGACAGCCTCACCTGGCACGTGATGCCTCTGAATGATTTTCTCAGTGTATGCCCAACCCAATCCATCTCCACTTGATTCTGCATATTTGTTCCATGATAGCTTCTTGGTTCGTTCGTTGCCAGCCAGTCAGACTTCCTCCTTGTTTATTCTCTCTGGCCTTCTCGTCTCATCTTCAGTAGTATCGAGCCAGCCTAGGTGACAGCAGTTGATGAATGTGTGTAGTTTGTTGGAAATGCTTCTCGTGACACGCCAAGTTTCTCAACCATCACATAGAAGCACTGACTTGACATTGGTGTTAAAAATGAGGATGTTGTTCACACTTTATGCTGAGTGAAGTGCAGTAGATCTCCACACTTATTTCAGATTAATGAAAGCCTGTGTTTGCTTTTCCGATTCTGACTTTGACATCTTCATTTGTGGCGCTTGTAGTTGAAACGATGCAGCGCTGCCTATGTAGGTGGAAGAGACTAGTTTCTTTAGGTTTCTCCTGTTGATGGTGACTGGTGCTTTTTGTTGTTTGGGTATCTTCATGACCTCTGTCTTCTCTACATTCATTTGAAGTACCGTTTTTGCTGCCACTTCTGTCAACTTGTTAGTTTTTTCATGTAGATCTTCAAACTTGTGCAGCACTAGACATAAATCATCGTTGGCGAAATCCAAGACTTCTAAGATCTTTTAATCGGTCCAGCCAGCGTATGCCCATCTTCTCGCTCCTCACGGTTTGCTGGATGATCCAGTCCACTACAATCAGGAAGATCATCGGTGATGATAGTAGGTGGCAAACTTGTCTTACTCCTGTCTTTACTTCAAAGGCATCACTGAGTTTTCTATTGTGGATCACTTTGCTTGCGACCTTTTCATATAGCTGTTGAATGAGGTTCAACATTAAATCTGCATAATGCACTTGCTATCAGGTGGGTTTATTTCATACAAAAAAACATTGAAACTATTCAAAACACTTGGTTCATGTCAGATAATCTAACCAAAACAGAATTACTACTGTGGAATAGGTAAAATGCTGAATGATTCCTTCAAAAGAGACAATGGACTATAAAAATTATCAACTTATGCTTCTTATCACAGCTAGTGTGGGCGATACACCATGCAGGATAGATCTTGCTTTATCTCCCTTTTCTCCTTCAAGTTTTCGATAATTTTGGATGACGTTTCAGTCTATTGCTCTATTTTTCATTCTTCTAGCTTGTATCTAAATGTGCTAGTCTGTAGTATGGCAACTTGGAGCGTTATACAATAATGCCAGACCCAATGTTGGTATTGACTGACTAATATGAAAGACAAAAATTTCATTTTCTAATGGAGATCATCCAGAGAAGATGAACTGAAACAGGAGAGATTTGGTAACGAAAGTGCTAACTAGTATATGGGAATCAAGTACGATCTCCCTCACTGGTCTAAATCACTGATTATTTCAGTCTTCAAGAAAGGCGAGAAGTCCTCCTGTGATAACCATAAAGGAATCACTCTGACGAACATAGTATCTAAAATTCTAGGTCCTATAATTCTTCGACGCCCAAGTGTAGCTCAGAAACAGCAATTCCGAGAAAACTAGGCAGGCTTCAGACCCAGCCGCGGGTGTATCGACCAAATATTCATACTGCGCCAGAACACAGGCACGCTTACCGACGCCCGTCAACAGCTGTATTTCTCGACGTGAAGGCGGTGGCACTCGACTCCGTTGATCGAGAAGTCTTACGGCAATGTTTCTCACTGAAACGCGTGCCGAGTGAGTACACCGCCTTATTGAAGACTCTCTACTCGAACACTTGTGGGCGTGTTAGGGCCTCTGGTGAGATATCCCGAGGGGCAGTACTCCTCGAGTGGAATCCGTCAAGGCTGCCCACTGTCTCCATTCCTATTCAATTTTATTACAGATATCCTCATAAAGGTCTCCCTCTCGTCACCTGACTACACAGGGGTTGACCTAATCGGGTCAGAATTTTCGTTAGACCTAGAATACGCAGATGACAGTCTTGTTAGGTGAAGATGCTGACAAGATGCAGTCTTCTGGACACTTTAAGTGGCAATTTGAGAATGTTTAGGATGCGTTTCACACCACTGAAATGCAAATTGTTGCTTCAGGATTGGTTTTCAACGGTGCCACGGTTAACAGTCGAGAGTGTAATGGTTGAGTGTGTCGACCACGTCACTTACCATGTAAGTGAAGTAGGACCAGCCCTAGTGGCTCAATGGTCGATGAGATGCAAATAGCTCGACTGGCTTTTGCCAACTTACACCATCCATGGCGCCGCCGTGATATCCGATTGTCTATTAAGGGTCGCGTGTACTGCACATGCACAGCAGTCCACCCTGTTCTACTCTATGGCTATGAAACATCACCATTGAAGGTGGAAGACATGAAAAGGCCTCGATAGTTTGACCACCGCCGCCTTCGTAGTATAGACCGTATTCCATGGTGTCACCACGTGAGTAATGCAGAAGTCAGGTGTGCAGTTTTAGGGAGAAGAGGTAAATCAGTAGACGAGGTTATGAACCTTCATCGACTGAGATGGCTGGTTGAGACACGTTACGTATACCTAGCCACCATGTGCTTCGTCACACAGTGTTGGCCGAAGCACGTTCAGGCCGGGAGAAGGCTTGAGGTGGCCAGACTAAAACATGGCATCAGTGTATCAAGTGTTTGACTGTTGGTTTGAGCCATGTGGGACGATGCAGACTAGGTGATTGAGGTCCGCGGGACATGACAAATCAGTGGTTGGAGACTGACTCTAGGTGATATGGCTCATAGCTGATGTCAGTGGCGCAGATGTATCCCCACACACACACATTATCCTCATCTTAACGACGCTATACCGAATCTCACCACTTTCTCATTCTTCCTTCCTCTCCTTTCGTACTTTATATTTCTTTTGAATGAATTTTCTTATCTTCATCTTGCATTTCACTTCCTTTTTGCTTGATGTAGTGATATGAGGTGTGGCAACTCGGACCGTTACGCAGTAATGCCTGGTACTATGTTGATTTAGGTGGATGATGGATAAGTGGAATGAGTGTTTGTAGAAAGCAAGTTAGTAATGTCATTCAAAGCTTACCTACTTATAGAATAAATGGTCGTGTGTTTTGGGAATGCAAATGAAAACAAGACTTTTTAGAACTGGATTGTGTAGGCATCTTGACGAGAGATTATACTAGTCTACAGGCGAAGATGCTTAGAAATCAGACATCATCCCAGAAGTTATATTCACCATGGTGATTAGTAGTGGAATCCATGATGTGCATTTTGCTCTATTTCGGGCTCGTCAGTGGGATATAAATGCACCTCATTGAGAACTACATTACTCACTTTGGTGCTGGTAAATCCGGCTGACGAGTCCTAAATAGAACGAAACTTACATTGTGGGTTTCACTGCTAGTCACCATGGTGAATATAACATCATGAGAATCCAAAAGGGTCGAGGCATACGTATTGGAGTCAATCTGCCAACAGAGTCCGAGCAATGCAGCCGTGTAAAATTACATGGCTCCAGATTGTTTGTTACTGTGGGACAGTATGGAAAACTAACGTCTGTTATATTCCTGATTCAATCCCATAGGTAATTTGTTATAAATTCGCCTGATGACGATTGACTGATTCTTTTTATTTGGTCTTAACACTGATCTTGAAAGTGTGATTGATCTCGTGCATACTTGCCGCATCTTGTATACTCACACAGTTCTGATCTTCTAACTGCTGACAACAGAAAACAAAATCTAGTGCTTATTGTCCGTATATGTCAGACGATCTGCATATATATATATATACTACTGAATTACTTGACCATAATTTGTAAGAAAATATCAACTCTCATGCACAAAATATGGTATGGGACATATTGAGGAGCAGAGCTACGACTTGATTACCCTTAGGTGTTGAAGTCAGGCGAAGGGTACTAAGCAAGACAGGCAAGTCGATTGATGAAGTTATGAACCTTCATCAACTAAGATGGCTTGGACATCATACTGCGTATGCTAAGCTACCGCCTACGTCAATGTACCATGCTGGTAGGGGGAGTTGGATTCGATTAGGAGAGAGTTTAAGGTGGCCAGTTGAAGATGTACCATCAATCGACTAGTATAAGTCGTATGGGAAGATGTAGACTGCCTGACTGGGATCCTCGAGACAAAAAGAATCAGTGGTTGAGAATACGATGCAGATATATTCACTCCTTTTCATCTTCTAAGGTTTGAATATTCTATTCACTTGTTCTCTGTATACTGGTATGAAGTGTGGTTGAGCAACGTTCTGCGTTGATTCTCGTCTTTCTTCATGTACTTAGTCAGTGTGTCAAATACCGTTTCACATCAATTTAGCTTTAGGAACAATGAATATAACCCGTAGCCCCGTTAGAATCTCGTACATAACGAAATATGAAGAGAAATTTCAAGCCTTAAATACAATTAACATCATTATTTTTAATAAGAACTTTCATTCATAGTATATAATAAAAGCACGTTTAGTTTTTAACGGTTGACTTACCTATCTAACTATAAACATCATGAAAAAACTATTTCAAATGTCTATTTTCTAATTTATCATAATTGGGATTGAAATAATTCTACTTTTCTAGTGACTGTGAAGGTCACTCTAACAACTGCTGAAATAACCAATCAGATGTCAGTATTTCTGTTGAGAATAGAGAATTGTAATTGGTCACCTCAAGAGTTGTTAAAGTGGCCTTCACAGTCACCTCATTTTCAAGGTAATATTCCATTAGAAACTGATATAAATCGAAGGAGCATTAAAAACATAGAAGCAGGTGTTTCGTTCTAGTGTGAGACTCTTCAGCAGTGTGCACCTGAAACTCCATGAAGGGTCGAACTGACGACTATTAGGCTGGAATCCAATCAATTTGGTGTATTGTAAATCCTAATTAACTTCTTAGTTTGTCAGTTTACGGGATTAAAATCATTTCTTTCTAATAAAATACTCTTTCTTTTTCTAGTTAGTTATGACTGAAAAGAAGATAACACAACGAAACAAACTACTATTAGGTGTTACTGGTAGTGTGGCAGCAATTAAAATACCCTGTCTTATAGAAAAATTACAAGAAATCGGTTTTGAAATTCGTCTAGTTATTACATCGAATGCAGTCAACTTTATTTCAATAAGCAGCTTAACAGTACCAGTGTATCAAGATGAAAATGAATGGTCAGATTGGCGGGAATACAAAAACTCTGTCCTGCATATTCAGGTATGCATTTGTATTGAAATGAAAATTTTGGTCAGCAGTCGTATGTTTGTAGCTGTCAACTGGTGGTAGAGCCATCGGTCCTGACAACTCGCGGGTCGATGGTTCGAACCCAATTTTTTAAATTTTATCTAGTAATAATAATACAAGTCTGTCGAACCACGCAGCTATCTGATAACTTATATTTTATCATTTTATATTTTTCTGTCTTGTTTTTTTGGGTAATTTTTAAATATTTCAGTTAAGAAATTGGGCAGATGTACTATTGCTAGCTCCATTGAGTGCAAATAGTTTAGCTAAAATGGCGTATGGATTAGCAGATAACTTGTTGACAACAATTACACGTGCTTGGTGGTTCCCAAATGAAGATATCAGTCCTAATAGTAATAGTTATGGTGAATCAATGAAACCAGTATACTTTGCGCCAGCAATGAATACTTCAATGTGGCAACATCCATTCACTTATGAACATATTGAAAGATTAACTGAAAAACTTCATTGGAAGTGTATACATCCTATTCAGAAGAAATTGTTCTGTGGAGAGATTGGTGTAGGAGCTATGGCAGAAGTTGAAGATATTGTCAACTGTTTAAAATCTGCACTTTTGTGATCATATATTTTAATTATATACTATAATATTACAGATGTATTGATTGTAAAGTTCTCCTTTGATGGCTGCTACCTTGACGTGGTGGTCGGGCCCAACGACCTATGCTGTAGAACGCTTGTTCCCTCGAGATCCTACCATACCAGAAAGGTTTATTGGATAATGATTAGACAAAAAGCAGTTCTAGAATAAAGAGGTGATGCATTATGGTGGCTTAGATCAGCCATCAGTGGTTAGTAGTAATCCAAAACTATAGGACGTATGTCCGACTACATCTTCCATAATACTAGCCAATTGTCATAACATCAAAAAACACCATAGGTGGGCGGCCTTAAGCAGATATCCCCTGCGCTTTGAGGTTACGCATCGACCCTACTTTTTAGGTAACTCAAGAAGACTTCGCTTTTCATGGTGTAGGCAGCTGGAAAGTGTCAGTCGAGCTTACAACTGTGTCATTCAAAAGAATATTTCAGCTTAACCTTTCATGGAGTAATTTCACTTACTAAATTATGCTGCTAATGTTGAAAAATCAGGGAGAAAAAAAAGGAAAAACCTTGATGCTGGCTAAGATTGCAGGCAGTCAGCAGAAAACTGTAGACGTGGGACTAGAGAGAATGCGTTATATACAGTTAACCAATCTCAGCCCAAATAACTCAGTGATAACTAGGCTGTACAGGTTCCGGTCTCTGAGACGACATGACTCTCGTCAAAGTTGCCGATATGCCTTGATAATAAGTGCCAATGATAATAGTAATAAAAATACTGCAAGTAAGTGTGATATTTTTGCGTGACGGTCCATCGTTAATATAGTTAAGAATAGTCAATTATTTAGGTGACAATAAGTCTTATGTAATACTAGATGACTAGTGTTCAAATAAACGACTCTCTGTGATAAATGATTTTAAACATCCATCACCAACTGCATAACTGATTCTTGTGAGTTGTATAAACAACTGACTGTCATATGAAGTCACACTGTTGTCAACACTCATTTATTTTTTCACTAAACAACATGAATATCTAACTGCGGAGAGGCTAAAGTAGCTAGTTGTCGAGAAGAATAGTTTTTGTGCATTGAATTGTCTTTTCAACTAAAATAGAATATTCATTGTGGACTAACATCAGTTGGAGGAACATTGGAAGCATGGGGGCACTGACCAGCAGCTGTTTCATCTCAATATGAGACTCCTTAGCAGTGCGTACCCACGACCTCGCCAAGGATCGAACCCGTGACCTTCAGGTTCCATGGTTAGCATGTTACCATTGAGCTACTGCATCGGAATTTAACGGTCTATATTTCCAACTTCTGTCAGTTCACACACATCACTCGTTGAGTTTTTGCCCTACTGGTCACGACTTCTCGCTGGAACTTTGGAAATCACCTCTTGAAGCTAGTCACCAATGAGCACTAGTTCAATTGAATTTAGAGGTTAATGGGGGCAAACCTGGTGGCTATGAAGATAAATACTCAACAATGACATTGGGTGGCGGTTGCGTTATGTCGTGAACTGACAGAAGTTGGAAATATGGACCATTGGATTCTAACCCAGTGGCTCAATGGTAACGAGCTGGCTACGGAACTTGAAGGTCGCGAATGCGTACTGCTGAGAAGTCCCATACTAGAAGGAAACAGCTACTGTCCAGTTCCCCCAGGTTTCTAATGTTCCTGCAATCGATGTCAGTCCATGTGATAAATACCAACTTGAAAAATCTCTAAACCCCAAAATTCAATTAAAATGGAATAGTTTTCGATGATCGGTCACAATTGATATATGGACTGTGTGGATACCTCACTGACATTGTCGACAGTTTTCAGTTTTGATAGCAAGGATGCATAGTGACCAGTGGTGGAATCCAGAACGCATGTTTCGTTCTATCTGCGACTCGTCAATTGGATATACTTGTCTCCTAACGAGTGTTGTTACAGATGGGACTCGAACTCGGGACCAGTTGCTTCAAACCCCATAACGCTACCCACTAGGCCACTGAGTTGTCAATTATATGGAAGTGCCAACAAGCACGAAACCTCAGTTCAAGGCTTGCTGTTGATTGCTCTCGACTACCTAACAACAACCAAAGTGCACTATGATGAACTATCTCCTAGTCTAACGACAACATTCTACAACGATAGAATACCGATGTAAGATGAAAATAATCATCATAAGAATCTTTGAAGTGTTAAATAATATTACCGTTTTAGTTCGAGACTTCGCGGCAATACATACCAAGAACTCTACGTTGATATTGAAATGCTAGATGGTGATTTGTCAAATAGTTTGTGAGCAAAATGTAACTTTTCTCTGTATTAGCAGAAAGTATTCGCCCCTCCCCCTGTAACTTGATATTAGTATCAGATTACCACTTTCACTCAAAAATTCAAAAACCTTCCACTTGGAAAACAAGTCATGATTAGAACTGAATTATCATACTCAAGGGTTATGATGATCTGAAGGAGGTTATGTACTAACCGAGTTGTGAGGATGATTGACGCTTCTCAGGTTGGTTCGTGACCGTAGAACCGAACGTCCATCACACTGGACTTTTTCTAGCAGTTTCAGCTATAATCTCATACTACCGGTAATGGAAGATCATAGGGTAGGCAGTATCAGCATATTACTGCTGGTCATATATACCTTACTGCTGTCACACACCCGTCCAGCCAACAGTACGACCTCGCACTCGGGACTCCCATTGTGGAGCTGTGACTCAATGGTCTAGACACTTGATTTTCTACTAGTAGGTCACAAGTCCGAGCACCGCTCTATGCAGAGCGAACTGCACCACAACACATTCAGACATCACCGCAGCATTATAAATAGTGTAAGAAGGCGAAGCTGGTGTTTTGTATCCGTGCGGATATTCTATCGGTTACTGACCTATTACAGTTGGTCAAACTTCTGAAATAAGTGAAGTGGTCAATGTACTCAACTCAACCACTTCATCCCGTACTGTTAGATGCGGTGTCAACACAGGGGCGATAGTTTATATTTAAGTGGTAAAAAATACACCCCAAGTATTCTCAAGGTGTCCAGAAGACTCTGCATCATGTCGCATTCCACAGATGTATGTATAGTCAGACAACTTATTAAATAACTTGTGTCTTTTACATCACTTAATCGTATTCGTGTGTTGTTTTAGGTTCAGCTAATTGTATTATATGATGCAACGCTTTAAGTTCACTGACCAGTCCATAGATTCAAAATCAAGCAACAATAATTGCTGAATAACTTCCATAATATGTGCACCATTAATTGATTATTGATTATCCCTAGAGAATCATCATCATTATCAACATAGGATCAGGCATTACTGCGTAACGGTCCGAGTTGCCACACCTCACGTCAGTTCATCCACTAGAAAGGTAGTGAGGTGAAGGATGAAGATAAGTGAATGCAGTCAAAAGAAATATAAAGTACAAGAAGAAAGGAAAGAGGAGTGACAAAATGGTGAGATTCGGTATAGTGTTGTTAAGATGAGGATAATGTGTGTATATATCTGCGCCACTCACATCGCTTCTCAGCCATGTGATCACCTAGGGTCTGCAACCACTGGTTCCTCTTGTCCCTCAGACCCCAACCACCTAGTCTACATCGTCCTACATGGCCTAAACCAACAGTCAGAGACTTCATACATTGGTGCCATGTTTTAGTCTGGCCACCTCGGGCCTTTTTCCAGCCTGGACGTACTTCAGCCAACATTGTGTGACGAGGCGATCGGTGACTAGGCGTACGTAGTACGTGTCTCAACCATCTCAGTCGATGGAGGTTCACAACCTCGTCAACTGACTTACCTCTTCTCCCCAAAACTCTACACCTAACTTCTGCATTACTCACATGGTGACACTATGGAATACGTCCTATACTACGAAGGCAGGCAACAGTGGTCAAACACCTGAAGCCTTTATCCCTAGAGAAACTCAGCTCATGTGCCTAATCTATTCATAAAACCTGAATTTGATAAAAATTACCACCTGGTTAGGTAGGTGGCTGAACACTCAAGGTGATAACCAGCTAACTAACCTACTTCTTATAGCATCTCATCATATGTTGGCTTTAAAAGAAGCCTTTAGAAACCACTGTACCTTACAAGTCTACAAAGTTTCTTTAGGCCAAAAGATACAGCAGAGAAGGAAGACAAGTGAAACGTTAAGTCTACAAAATAAACTGTGAAAAACAATATATACCAGACACAATAGTCGCTCTATTCGCATTCGTCTACATGAACGTCAACTGGCAGTGAAGCGTCATGACTTACCTTCACACATAGTAATGCATATAGACATGAATTCGACTGGGAAAATATGGCAGTCTTGTATAGAGGAGATAAGAAGAATACCAGAGAATTTTTAGTAGCTTGACATTCACATCAATCAGCGATTAACAAACATATATTGACATCATCTATCAACTAATAAGAAATAACAAGAAGGTCAAAGGTCAAACGAAATGCGTACAGAGATAGCTAATCATACACAAAGACCATCATGACAAGCTACTGAACCACTTGTAGAAGAAATCCCATAGCTTATTTCTTTCTGAAGATTATACCGATGAAGATAATGTCTAGAAGGATGATGAAAGTTTCATCATTAGACCATCTCTATCTCAGAGGACAACAAAATGCCTGGTACACACAATGAAAATGGTTTATACATTTTACCTAGTTAGATAAAAAATAAGTAGAATAATCATATTAAAGGTATTGTTGTAAGAAAGGGAAAAGTAATTGAGTATACTACTATACTAGGGCGTCTATGAAATATTATTTAACTGAAAGTATATACACAGTATTTCTAAGCTTATTGTTTATTTTCGCCAAAATGATGCATCAATGGATAATTTTTGTAACATTGTATCAAACCATCTTTTAATTGCTGAAATCGGTACAACAGGATCAGATGTTAAATTGTCATGTGCAAAACTAGTAACATAATTGAATAAACTTTCAGCTGCAAATCTAGTAAACTGAGTCATTCTGTCGGTATTGATTGACTCCGGTGTAGTTTCTTCAATTTGTTGAGGTAAATTACTTAGTAAATCAACAGATATTCCAATTTGAGCTGATATAATCCCATTAGAAAATTGTAATGATGCATTATCACCGAATGGATGAATACTAGATTGTTGTGTATCTACAAGAGGAAAATTGAAAGGAAAAAAAAGACTATGGAATATGTCTATTATTTTACTGGGAAGGAGGTTATTACATATACCATTGTAGTAAATCTTGTTGAAATAGTTCAACAGTCTAACAAATATAAACTACTACAGTATAGAAGAATAAATGATCCATTCATCCAAACCAACATAGTACCAGGCATTACTGCGTAACGGTCCGAGTTGCCACACCTCATATCACTGCATCAAGCAAAAAGGAAGTGAAATGCAAGATGAAGATAAGAAAATTCATTCAAAAGAAATATAAAGTACGAAAAGAGAGAAAGTGGTGAGATTCGGTATAGCGTCGTTAAGATGAGGATAATGTGTGTGTGTGGGGATACATCTGCGCCACTGACATCAGCTATGAGCCATATCACCTAGAGTCAGTCTCCAACCACTGATTTGTCTTGTCCCGCGGACCTCAATCACCTAGTCTGCATCGTCCCACATGGCTCAAACCAACAATCAAACACTTGATACACTGATGCCATGTTTTAGTCTGGCCGCCTCAAGCCTTCTTCCGGCCTGAACGTGCTTCGGCCAACATTGTGTGACGAAGCACATGGTGGCTAGGTATACGTAACGTGTCTCAACCAGCCATCTCAGTCGATGAAGGTTCATAACCTCGTCTACTGATTTACCTCTTCTCCCTAAAACTGCACACCTGACTTCTGCATTACTCACGTGGTGACACCATGGAATACGGTCTATACTACGAAGGCGACGGTGGTCAAACTATCGAGGCCTTTTCATGTCTTCCACCTTCAGTGGTGATGTTTCATAGCCATAGAGTAGAACAGGGAGGACAGCTGTGCATGTGCAGTACACGCGACCCTTAATAGACAATCGGATATCACGGCGGCGCCATGGATGGTGTAAGTTGGCAAAAGCCAGTCGAGCTATTTGTATCTCATCGACCATTGAGCCACCAGGGCTGGTCCTACTTCACTTACCAGGTAAGTGACGTGGTCGACACACTCAACCATTACACTCTCGACTGTTAACCGTGGCACCGTTGAAAACCAATCCTGAAGCAACAATTTGCATTTCACTGGTGTGAAACGCATCCTAAACATTCTCAAATTGCCACTTAAAGTGTCCAGAAGACTGCATCTTGTCAGCATCTTCACCTAACAAGACTGTCATCTGCGTATTCTAGGTCTAACGAAAATTCTGACCCGATTAGGTCAACCCCTGTGTAGTCAGGTGACGAGAGGGAGACCTTTATGAGGATATCTGTAATAAAATTGAATAGGAATGGAGACAGTGGGCAGCCTTGACGGATTCCACTCGAGGAGTACTGCCCCTCGGGATATCTCACCAGAGGCCCTAACACGCCCACAAGTGTTCGAGTAGAGAGTCTTCAATAAGGCGGTGTACTCACTCGGCACGCGTTTCAGTGAGAAACATTGCCGTAAGACTTCTCGATCAACGGAGTCGAATGCCACCGCCTTCACGTCGAGAAATACAGCTGTTGTCGGGCGTCGGTAAGCGTGCCTGTGTTCTGGCGCAGTATGAATATTTGGTCGATACACCCGCGGCTGGGTCTGAAGCCTGCCTAGTTTTCTCGGAATTGCTGTTTCTGAGCTACACTTGGGCGTCGAAGAATTATAGGACCTAGAATTTTAGATACTATGTTCGTCAGAGTGATTCCTTTATGGTTATCACAGGAGGACTTCTCGCCTTTCTTGAAGACTGAAATAATCAGTGATTTAGACCAGTGAGGGAGATCGTACTTGATTCCCATATACTAGTTAGCACTTTCGTTACCAAATCTCTCCTGTTTCAGTTCATCTTCTCTGGATGATCTCCATTAGAAAATGAAATTTTTGTCTTTAATATTAGTCAGTCAATACCAACATTGGGTCTGGCATTATTGTATAACGCTCCAAGTTGCCATACTACAGACTAGCACATTTAGATACAAGCTAGAAGAATGAAAAGTAGAGCAATAGACTGAAACGTCATCCAAAATTATCGAAAACTTGAAGGAGAAAAGGGAGATAAAGCAAGATCTATCCTGCATGGTGTATCGCCCACACTAGCTGTGATAAGAAGCATAAGTTGATAATTTTTATAGTCCATTGTCTCTTTTGAAGGAATCATTCAGCATTTTACCTATTCCACAGTAGTAATTCTGTTTTGGTTAGATTATCTGACATGAACCAAGTGTTTTGAATAGTTTCAATGTTTTTTTGTATGAAATAAACCCACCTGATAGCAAGTGCATTATGCAGATTTAATGTTGAACCTCATTCAACAGCTATATGAAAAGGTCGCAAGCAAAGTGATCCACAATAGAAAACTCAGTGATGCCTTTGAAGTAAAGACAGGAGTAAGACAAGTTTGCCACCTACTATCATCACCGATGATCTTCCTGATTGTAGTGGACTGGATCATCCAGCAAACCGTGAGGAGCGAGAAGATGGGCATACGCTGGCTGGACCGATTAAAAGATCTTAGAAGTCTTGGATTTCGCCAACGATGATTTATGTCTAGTGCTGCACAAGTTTGAAGATCTACATGAAAAAACTAACAAGTTGACAGAAGTGGCAGCAAAAACGGTACTTCAAATGAATGTAAAGAAGACAGAGGTCATGAAGATACCCAACCAACAAAAAGCACCAGTCACCATCAACAGGAGAAACTTAAAGAAACTAGTCTCTTCCACCTACATAGGCAGCGCTGCATCGTTTCAACTACAAGCGCCACAAATGAAGATGTCAAAGTCAGAATCGGAAAAGCAAACACAGGCTTTCATTATTCTGGAATAAGTGTGGAGATCTACTGCACTTCACTCAGCATAAAGTGTGAACAACATCCTCATTTTTAACACCAATGTCAAGTCAGTGCTTCTATGTGATGGTTGAGAAACTTGGCGTGTCACGAGAAGCATTTCCAACAAACTACACACATTCATCAACTGCTGTCACCTAGGCTGGCTCGATACTACTGAAGATGAGACGAGAAGGCCAGAGAGAATAAACAAGGAGGAAGTCTGACTGGCTGGCAACGAACCAACCAAGAAGCTATCACGGAACAAATATGCAGAATCAAGTGGAGATGGATTGGGTTGGGCATACACTGAGAAGGTCGTTGGGGGACATCACGTGCCAGGTGAGGCTGTCGAGTGGAATCCGAAGGGTAAACGACGAGTTGGGCGTCGGTGGTGAGGGTGAGATAGTGTGTGAACACTTGAACAGTGTCTCGTTTTCGCTGCGTCTTCTGTCAACTTGTTAGTTTTCGCCTGTAGATCTTCAAGTTTGTGTGACATTAGACACAAGTCATCGTTGGCGAAATCTAGATCTTCTAGGTTCTTCTCCCCGGTCCAGCTAGCGTATCTCCCTCTTCTCGCTCTCCAATGTTTGCTGCATGATCCAGTCCACCACAATCAGGAATATCATGGGTGACAGTAGGTAGCAGTTTTGTCTTACTCCTGTCTTTACAGCACCAAAGTGAGTAATGTCGTTCTCACTGAGGTGCATTTATATCCCACTGACGAACCCGAAATAGAGCAAAATGCACATCATGGATTCCACTACTAATCACCATGGTGAATATAACTTCTGGGATGATGTCTGATTTCTAAGCATCTTCGCCTGTAGACTAGTATAATCTCTCGTCAAGATGCCTACACAATCCAGTTCTAAAAAGTCTTGTTTTCATTTGCATTCCCAAAACACACGACCATTTATTCTATAAGTAGGTAAGCTTTGAATGACATTACTAACTTGCTTTCTACAAACACTCATTCCACTTATCCATCATCCACCTAAATCAACATAGTACCAGGCATTACTGCGTAACGGTCCGAGTTGCCGCACCTCATATCACTACATCAAGCAAAAAGGAAGTGAAATGCAAGATGAAGATAAGAAAATTCATTCAAAAGAAATATAAAGTACGAAAAGAGAGAAAGTGGTGAGATTCGGTATAGCGTCGTTAAGATGAGGATAATGTGTGTGTGTGGGGATACATCTGCGCCACTGACATCAGCTATGAGCCATATCACCTAGAGTCAGTCTCCAACCACTGATTTGTCTTGTCCCGCGGACCTCAATCACCTAGTCTGCATCGTCCCACATGGCTCAAACCAACAGTCAAACACTTGATACACTGATGCCATGTTTTAGTCTGGCCACCTCAAGCTTTCTTCCGGCCTGAACGTGCTTCGGCCAACACTGTGTGACGAAGCACATGGTGGCTAGGTATACGTAACGTGTCTCAACCAGCCATCTCAGTCGATGAAGGTTCATAACCTCGCCTACTGATTTACCTCTTCTCCCTAAAACTGCACACCTGACTTCTGCATTACTCACGTGGTGACACCATGGAATACGGTCTATGCTACGAAGGCGACGGTGGTCAAACTATCGAGGCCTTTTCATGTCTTCCACCTTCAGTGGTGATGTTTCATAGCCATAGAGTAGAACAGGGAGGACAGCTGTGCATGTGCAGCACACGCGGCCGTTAATAGATGATCGGATAGGTAAAACTTCCCGTTTGTTCACCAATAAGCTAGGTGACTAGTGCCGTTGGTCGATAATTCCAGCCAGGAAGAATCAAACAGAAAAGACAAAATCAGCATATATCTTCCCATACAAGTGCATCGGCTTAAGTTGCCACGCTTCTGAATAGTATACAAAAAACAGGTGGGTAGAAAAAGGGTGGTGACAGAATAGACAATCTCGAGATAACAGATGGTGTAAATTTTCAGGATTTAGGTGTCAAAGAGTCAATACATCTGCACCACTGTGATCGAGTTTCAGCCATATCACCAAGAGTTCTCAACCACTGATTTTTATCATCTCCGGGACCTCAGTTTGGGGACTTTCTCGACTGGTGTCACATCTTTATCTTGACACCCTGAACCCTCTTACAGCTTCCTCTAGCATGGTACGCTGAGGTAGGCGGTGGTTCGGCATATGCAGTACATATTCAAGCCATCTCAGTCGATTAGGAATTACAACCTTACCAATCGACTTGCCTATCTTGCCTAGTATCCTTCGCCCGACCTTATCATTTTCCACACGATGATTCCTACCAAACGCGAGCAATACTACGAAGACATCTATAAACAAAACCCTGCAATCACCTTATGTCTTTTACTTTTGACGGTCATTCCTTGCAGCCATACAACAGGACAGGACGGATTGGAGTGCAGTATATTCGTTCTTTGATAGATAGTCGGAAATCTCGTTAGTCGGCGCCACACGTGATGCAAATTGGAAAATGCCAATCAGGCCTTTTGTACCCCAGTTGGCATTTCGTCAGCAAGCAACGTGTTCGGACTGATGCAACTCCCCAAGTAGGTGAAGTGGTCGACACATTCCATCACTTCACTCCCAACCACTAAACTGGGAGTAATTGTAGCAGACAAGTCCCAGATTCATGTAACACCTTACAATACCTTAAAATCCATGGAGATGGAATCATTGATGTGACTACTCACTTCCATGTACTAGGTTACATAGCTATTAATACTTTGTTGTCATCCTCGCCATAAAATGCAGTATATACATGCGCCTCGCAGTCAGCTGTACAAATTGATAGCTTCCTGATGAGTTTACCAATAATTGCTTAGATAGCGTTCTCTTTCCCTGTAGTACGATAGTTCATCATAGTCTGTGCAAAGATCTTTTTTCCTGCCGTTACCAGACAGATGACAAGGTATAGTCATATATGCCTCACATAAGAGTAGTTAACGCCAATCAACAAAAAAGTATGAAAAGACTAAAATTATGCCAGCTAAATGTTCTGCTAAGACTGGAAGCGAAGCATTGGTAGCCATCATCAAACTAGTGAATCCGAATAGTTCACCTACAGAACATGGAAAACCTCGATGCCAAACCAATGGTTTACATCGGCTCCACGTTTCAAAAAGGACAAATGAATCTACCTTAGTCACGGAAAATGTTGGAAGGGCCCAGTTTTGCATAAAACATTGTTTATTAATCTAACATTCCTTTGCTGTCATTTTCACGCCACTTTTTTTCTACAGTATAGTCAGTAGTTCATTTCTCTTTTGTGTACGTACATATGTGTTTGCGTTAGGTGATTATTATTTTCGGAAGAATGAATAAATTCTCCCGTCCAGTTCAATTTTCTCTATTTCATCTCATATCCGAGTTGGTGGGTCTTGCGCATAAAGTTAGCTGTTAGTTAACGTACGTATTATATCCGCTAGGAATATATAGCAGAAAATTAGAGGTAATCAAGGAATTTACGTTGTTTTGCTGTCTTAAAGTGTGAAACTTGATCAATGTAGAAGAATGTAATTCCATATTAAATTTCTTAATGTGCAATAGTATACTCTGTTTACTTGATGATGTTTCGAACACAAATCATTCCTCACAACCATATCACAGTAATCATACAACCCTCAACATCTGGTTTCTATAATCTTATTCTTTGCTTTAGTGGCAGTTGGCTTTCCCACATTTCTAGTACGGATGGGTGTTACCTCATCCCTATTACATGTGTCGGTTGATTCGATGAACAAAGATTCAGTAATCAATCCCTCCACACTCAACTATATTGTACTCAAGTATAGTTTCTTTACCACACCTTATGGTATGGTTATTTGTTGTCGTATGCATCGCAACAGCCAAGTTTCTTTTCCAGATTACTGATCTTAGTGGGGTCTATCATCCTACACTTGACTGAATTCGTGTGTTCCGATAAGCTAACTGATCCCGATCGCCTAGTTAAACTTATACACTTGACCTCATAGTCATCGCATGGATATGGTAGATTGGATCATTTTGCTGAATTGGATTGATCGGATCCTGAAATCTTATCTGAGTGAGTTTGGAGGTTTACATGCTACACCTTAATTCCAGGCTTGTCGAGAATTTTACGTTCCTGAGGTTCTTTCCTGATATCGGAACACAATAAATAGTAGCCGTGAATTCCTTTCTACCTGTGTTGCATTTACTACTCGTATTACTATGACTATTTCGTTTATTATACGTTCTTACGAGTTTCTTAATAAATTTCAGGGAATAATTATTGATTACTGATGTTTTCTTTTTAAGTTTCAATCGGATACATGTAGTAACACAAACATAGGGAGGACTTAGTAGCCATTGAGAATAAAACCGAGAGAAAATAATTCAAAGTGCCTACACAAGCAAATAGGGTCACCTCCCCAATTAATACTGAGAAGGGAAATCTAAGCTCCTCAATCGATAAAAACATATTATTGAAACTGAATATGAGATGGACGAATATACATCATTTAAACCTATCTATAAAACCTTTCGGAGGGTATTTTGAGGTTTGTTGGAGTATTAGAACATCATTGTACTCTCAAACAATTTGTCATCATATTCCTGGATAAATTCAGCTTTCAATCTCAAGTTATTGTACAAGTGATTCCTTTTGCTTTATCAACCTTAATTGTTACTTTGAACTTCAACAGTTTTCCCATCCCAACTATATTACATTTTCCTGCTCCTTAATGGTTTGATGCAGTCTTTGTAGTACGATACCAATCAATATGGCACTGGACGCATTTGAAGTTAGCTGAATATTGACTCAGAACTTACTTATAGAATTAACGTACCCCTTGATGAGATCATGTTAGGTGTACAGTTGTGCCTAACTTTAAAAGTCTTCAAGTTTCAGCACAGAATATTTAGACAAGCACAAGGAGTAGGGACGGGATCACCAATATCCCCAATCGTAGCAGGTACATTTATGGGTAGTTGGGAACACACTTAAGATAGCGACAGTTTATCCACACAAACAAACTCAGCAGTAAAAAGGTGCGGTCCAGTTTACATCCTAGGTGGAAAATGAACAAGAACTCGATAAAAAAATTTGGTTGGCCATATACTATGCAATGACTGGAAGGCTGAATGCACAGGTCAAACTAGTCAGTCAGGATTAGTTAGATTATCAAGCATAGGAATTTAGCCACGTAGGATGATAGGCACCACTCAGATCAATGATCTAGAAAGAACAAATTCGGTTATTACAATGTATGCAATAACACAACCATACCATAAGGTGAGAAAAAGAAACTATGCTTGAGTCCAATATAGTTGAGTAGGGAGAGATCGACTACTGAATCTTTGTTCATCGAGTCAACACCCTATACATGTAAGAGGAATGAATTAACAACCACTCGTACTAGAGATGTGGAAGACTTTACTGCCACTAAAGCAAAGAACACAAGGTGATAGGACTACAGAAACCAGATATTGTATGATTACATTCATATAGTTATGAGGAATGGTTTATGCTTGAAATGTCATCAAGTAGATAATAATGTATCAGTGTTACGTCAAATAAACAAATCTACTATGGAGTAGACTTGGGAGTGTTCTGTTACCTTAACCGTATACATCGTCCTGGGTGTCCGAGTAATGTCACAGTTCTCATATTACATTCGAGGAAATGTAAAAGGTAACACAAAGGAGGGCTGACGACAACCAGAGAGGCTCTGAAAGTTGCCGTGGGCTTTAGGTTGGTGACATTATTTCTACCTCTTAATTACTTCTTTACAATGCATATGCAAAACAAGTTGGGTTGATATGAGTGGTGTTTTTGAACGGAGAATAGAGAAAACCTGACAACCACTCGAGGTCAGACACAATCTTCTTGAAAGTTTCGACTCGAATCTGTTATTTTTTTCTTTGGAAAAACCTTACCACCTAGTAATGGGAATCCATAGGGCAACGAAAATCATATTTTCAGTCTGCGTTTTATAACCCCTCCTGAAAAAAGGAAGGCGGTATCAATTTGAAATGCTCTGGATTTTGGTTAAATCACGATACAATCAATACGAAATAGCGCTCTTAAATTATTTTCCTGTATTTTGACTGACATTAACTGTTTCCGGCCTCACCGTTCAAGAGGATCTCAATAGACGCATATACTCATCCTAACCCCCCCCCCAGCTTTGCAGTAAGAACTCAGCTCGCTGAATTTCTCTGAAAAAAAACTGCTCCTGAGTATTTGTGTAATGTATTATTCATTTCTGTGAAGAAACTGTTAAGGTAAGGCCAACGCGAACTTGAAAAAGACGATACTGAGAGTATAATGGACCATTGTGCATAGCAGTGGTATGAAGGCCAAGAGGTTTTATCTACTGTTAACGTGGATACCGAAATTAAGGCAGTAAAGTATGTTATCTACCCTCTCACAGACAACTCGTTTTTTTTTAACCGTTTTTGACTAACGACGAAAATTACTCAAGCACAGTGTAACTCGTTTAACTATTTACTCATTCACTAACTACACATGACTAAACGGTTCGGAAGCTGGAGTGAAGGAGCAAAAGCTTGACAAGCGATTGTTGCACCAGTCAAGATTACTTTTAGCCTGAATATACGGTTTGTGGTAATCAACGGGCAACTTTATGCCGAGAATGATGATGCAGTTAACGATAAACGGTAGTGCTGAAGACTTTTCCTCTCTGAAGTTCACATAAGTACCTTACTATGGTTTCACAAAACACGTGAAGTGAGTCAATTTGGAAGCAACCTTCCACAGTAGTTATTCCCTTGATCATGAGTTAGCCCTCGGATAACACATGCACGTATCACTGCAGTAACGTTTAAGGTGTTAAATCTGCACGTAGAAGGTCAGGAACTTTGTGATGTTATCACTTGACCGAAAACTTACGAATGGGAGAAAGCGACTATTGTCCATCTGGGAATATCAAGGCAGATCGGAGGGTCTAAAGGAAAATCCTTCTACTTAGCTTTTAATGTCAGACATTTAGAAGAAAGTTACAGATTAGTGAGGCAGGTTTCTTGCTATTAAAGAGGGCCAACTATTATTGACCGAGTGTAAATTTTCAACCAATTCTACGCAGCATAAAATTCTGCCTAGGACAAATTGCTGTGTGGTGATGCACTGGACATGAAGAATTTTTTAAAAGCCATAGAAAAGTTAATCACACTAACTTTGAGTAAGTTTCCGACTTTGAATATCGCACTGGGCCGCTCATTGGTTAATAGACCGAGAAAATACCAATTTGACTCCCCACTATGCTGAAGTCCTAAGTAAACTGCGAAATGAAGCAGCAAAACGGATAAAGACTTACCACCACCGCCCATATTTGGCGGGAAAGGAAGTTCTCCTGTCAGGAAGACAACAATGTGATTAACATCGTTTAGAGGCAATAAATCCAGCAAAAATTGAGTATCTGATACCCGAGTGAAGTTTGTTTGTACCTACAGTTTATCTAAAATCAATGGAAAACGTACTAATCTGCCAGCTACTACTGCGGCAAACATTGTAGTATGAAAAACATGCCAACAGCAGTAACGCAAATACTTGCAGCACCGGTGCTTTCCACTTCAAAATCCAATATGTTTTAATTGGTGCAGAGTGATAAGAGAAAAAGGCTTATTGCCCAAGCTTTGTCCTTGCAGTTAGTATTGTTGTGGAAGTGTACTTTTTTGAAAGTGTTCACAACATTTGAGGACGCCTGGCCACCCGCTCCATCACTTATTAAATCTTGGCTGTAGCGCCAATCTAAGGGGACACACAAAAACTAACCCTGGAACATAGAAGGTTAGATGTCGAGCATATTTTTTGTTCACTAAGAGTTGCTAAACCATGGAACGATCTTCCTGAAGATGTGGTCCAGGCAACTTCGTCTGAATCCTTTAGACACCAACTGGATACCCACTTGGCATGTGTCTGGGATTTGTCCATAACTAATTGAATTATCACATTTCAACCGTCACTTGTTCTTTTTTCTTTAATTGTACACAGGTTAACAACCAAAAGGAGTAGTGATTCACGGGTTGTAGACGCGGAAGCCAGTTAAGCGAAAGCTGCTTCTATCTCGCAACAACCATTTGTACAGTGGCGTCACACACCTCTTCAGAATCAATAGCCTAGGGTTCAACAAGATTCAACATTGACGCTGACCCTGATAGTTTAACTGGCCCCACTAAGCTGAAGGCACCCGATCAAGCATCCTCGCCATTTGCAAGCTGTCGTGTTACGTCCCACTGCTCTTAGTCAACCCTCTTGTCAGCTTGTTCTCCCTTGGTCTCGTATTTGTGAGTACATTACAAGTACGAATAATCAGTGATTAGCCTCTGAGTCTATCAAGTTCACACCAGGACAATTCCTAAATTGGTGACCCCGACGTGATAACGAATCCCGACCAAGAACGAATATTAAATTGGTGAACCCGTTCCACTTCTTAACTTGTATGTTGTTTTTATTTCGACAGCCTTTATGTATCCATACACAACCCCTTTCTATGTCCAACCGTACTCCGAAGCTTATACGTATTAAGCCAGCAACGAACACTATCCTGCGCGTCATACTAAGCGGATAATGCAGAAACATGGCTTCTGTATGCCGAGGCGGATTTTCGAGGACAAGAAGTCGCAGATCCCCATTCTCGATTTCTTGCTGTATTACGTTCGCTGGCGCGGGAATTAAACAGGCATGTTCCGGAGCATACTTTTAGTCCTGAAGTAAGTAATCCCTGTGCACTTCTCAAAGATGTACTTCTGGGGAAAAGTGATCTCACAGATCGCCAGCAATTAGATGAATTGCTTCGTAACATCTATCTAGGCAGCAACTCAGCTGCTGAAGTCCTCACGAGCATGCGAGAAGTTATGGGCACACAAACGTTCGATAACGGCCTTTTCCAAGAACTGTTTCTCTCGAATCTACCACAACTGGTGCAAACCGTGTTAGTGGCACTTCATTCATTTCCACTCGATGACCTAGCGGCCCCAGCAGATGAAATACTGGAGATCTCAAGCAAACCTGTCTCCAACGCATATTCTATCTGCGATGAACCCAGGGGCCAGGATTCAGAGGTAACCAAGCTATGCAACTCTGTTAAACAGCTGCAACGAACTCGAAGTCCCGTGTTGCGCAGCACATCACAGAAACGCGTCTCAGCCCACTGCAACAACTCACGTGGTTATCTAAAACTAAACGTAACAGGGTGGAAAGCCCTAAATGGTGCTAATTTCACAATACCTGCCGGGACAAAGCCAGAAAATACCAGAGGCCATGCAGTTTCAACATGGACACAAACTCGGGAAACTGTCACGCCATCACGTGTTCATGGCAAATAGCCGTTTGCTTTACGTCACTAAAATAAAAACGGAAGTTCTCTACCTCGTCGACACCGGCGCAGAAGTTGGCGTTCTTCCCGCATCGACAGAGGAGCGTCACCATGACCCATCCTTCAATCTCCAAGCAGCTAACGGCAAGACGTTCGCAGCATTTGGGAGACGGTATGCCTACCTCAACTTAGGTTTACGTAAACCCATTCGGTGGACTTTCCTCCTGGCCGATGTTTCTATGCCCATCATTAGCATAGGTTTGCCAAACCATTACGATCTGCTCGTGGATACTCGTCGTCGACGGCTTATAGGCAATAACACAAAGTTGTCTACTAGTGGCACCACCTGCTTAGGTCCGAGTTTAGCCATCGTTAGAACTAAACAATCAGGCGGCGCACCCCATCAGGCAGTGTTAGATAAATATCCGCAGCTACAACACCAACACATACTCGTCCGTGCATAACCAGCAGTGTTATGCACCATGTGACAACCATAGGCCCACCTGTGGCATCCAAAGCACCCTATCTGGCCCCTGATGAGCTCAAAACGGTGAAACGTGAATTCGGCCACATGCCTAAACTGGGCGCTATCAAACCTTCAGGCAGTCCCCAAACATTGCACATGGTTCCCAAAAAGGATAGCGACGGCTGGTGTCCAACCGGTGATCACCGGAGGCTTAACGCTAAAATATCACCGGACTGCTATCCGATACCTCATGTTTACGACTTGACTGCGATGTTATGCCGAAAGAACGTATTCTCCGAAATCAGTCTGGCCAAAGCGTATAACCAGATGCCTTTGGTAGCAGAAGATATCGCGAAAACAGCAATTTTGCTCCTTTTGGCCAGTTTGAATCCCCGCACATGCCATCTGGTCTTCGGAATGCAGCACAAACATTCCAGCGTTCTATGGATGATGTCTTCCGTGGTTTAGATTTTGTCCACGTCTACATCGATGACAGTTTCATTGCAAGTCCAAGTAAGGAAGCTCATCTTAAACATTCGGACCTCGTATTCAGTAGACTGAGAAAATATAGCATCGCAGTCAACTTGTAGGGATGTCAAATAGGAGTGGAATCACTCAGCCTCCTTGGGCATACCATTAACAACGAAGGCATACGCCCGCTGAGAGGCAAATTGGCGGCTATCGTGAACTATCCAGAGCCGACTATTGTGAAGCAGCGCCGCACTTTCAACGGCCTGGTAAGTTATTACTGAAGGTTTATCCCCGAGTTTGCCTCTGTCATGAGACCACTCACAGACTCACTTCGAGGGACTACGAAGTGCGCAACTCTGGACAAAGTACCTAGACTTGCCTTCTCCAAAGCCAAGAAAGCCACTTCGAACGCAACCATGCTTTTGCATCATAGCCCTGATGATCCTTTGAACATCGCCGTTGATGCATCTGACTCCGCAATTGGAGCAGTTTTCAGACAGTTGACTGACAACCAGTGGCAACCTTCAGCCTTTTTCTCAAGGCGGCTGCAAGAGGCGGAAACAATATGCAGTACATTCGGTAGGGAACTCCTAGCTATGTACTGTTCTGTATGCCATTTTCGACATTCAGTGGAAGGTCATGATTTCATTATTTTCGCGGGCCACAAAACCTTCTCTTTTAGCTTGGCATCAGACAAATGCTCCCCTCACGAGTCGCAACAACCGGATTACATTTCCCGGTTCACGTCAGATATCTGCCACATTTCCGGAGCAGATAACTCCGCAGCTGACGCACCATCTCGAATGGCTTCGATAAACCGTATTGAAGGTGTCGATCTCGTTGGACTAGCTCGGCACCAAAAAGAAGACCTCAAGCTGCGCCATGAGTTGTGGTCCGTAACTTTGAAGCTACAACTGTGTCCGGAGGTCCAGGCGAGGATCCAATTTTATGCGGTGTCCCCGCTTATCTGTTGGACCCAGGAGCTTATGGCTAACGCTCTGAACAATTTGTTTTAGACAACCGCTAAGTAGCAAATAAAAAGGCAGTGGTAGGAGTATAACGTGCTTGTTCCAAGCACTCTAGTGGGCAAGCCCGCAGGGAAAAATCTTCCGAGTACATTAAAAGTTGTTCACCATTCAATTGCAGTCAGTAGTGAATGCAAAGTTTACAACAGATAGAAATCATGACCAGGTTTACTGGGCACTACGTCAGCCTCTTCCCCAGAAACGCCCTTGGGGGGCTGCCCTTTCGATGCAATCCAGAAATATCTGCTACTTGTATTCCATAAACCATTCTCCATGTTCCTCGTCCAGTAGTGATAGTGGATAATGAAATACCTCTGTTTCTACAGATCTCCGAAGTTTTGTAGCGTCACACACTTCCCCAAAATCAATAGCCTAGGGTTTGACGACTTTCGACATTGATGCTGACCCTGATAGTTTAACTGGACTCTAAGCTGAAGGCACCCGGTCAAGCATCCTCGCCATTTGGCACGTTGTCGTATTACGTTGCACTGTTCGTATTCGACTCTCTAGGCAGTTGGTTGGAACGCATCGGTATTTTGGCACAACCATCCAAATATACTATTCCATCCGACTACGCTATCGTGTTCTTCCTTGGTCTCGTATTCGTGGGTATATAACAAGTCCGAATAGTTAGTGATTGGTCTTTGCGTCTGTCAAGTTCGCACCAGGACAAATCCTAAATTGGTGAGCCCGACGTGATCAAATATCCCGACGTGACCACATGTCCCGATCAATAACAAATATTGAATTGGTGAGCCTGTTCCATTTTATATTCGTTTATTGTTTTCATTTCGATAACATTTATATATCCATTTACCACACTTTCTCTTGTCCGACCACACTCCCAAGCTCATTCGTACTAAGCCGACCACTAACACGATCCAACTCGTGCCATATTGGCCAGACAATGCAGAAACATGGTTTCTGTATGCCGAGGCCGATTTTCGAGAACTGGGTGTCTCAGATCCTCAGTCTCGATCTCTTGCCGTCATACGGTCACTACCGCGAGAATTAAACAGGTATGTTACAGCAAACATGTTTAATCCTGAAGTAAGCGATCCTTATGCACTTCTTAAGGCCGCACTCTTGAAGAAAAGCGATCTCACAGATCGCCAACGTCTAGACGAACTACTTCGTAACATCGAGCTAGGAAGCCACTCAGCTACTGAAGTCCTCGCACGCATGCAAGAAGTTATGGGTGCACGAACATTTGACGATGGTTTCTTCCGA